GTGGTAAATGTGACAGTTGTTTGACAAAATTCTACGGCGAGGTACTCCTGGTTACTTGCTGCATGGAGGAGAGGGTCAAACAAAACTGTCCAGGAGACCTTCCTATTGAATCATGAAGCTCAGAAAGGACCTCTTTGCTTTCTAAAGTCCTTCTCAGAGAGGAGTCTGGGTGCAGCTGGATCCCAGACGGTCAGTGGTTTATGTCTAAAGGATTATGTATGCACCATCAATCCTTTGTATCACTTAGCTAAGATTTCAAAGCTTAGTGTGCTGTTAATCACTTACAGAGAATCTATAGTGGCAAAGAATCTCCCCCACTGGGGGTTTTGGCTTAAGCAAGGGGATACCCACAGTGTGTCAGACACTATAGGGTTCTACGCTTGAGATCTTTATGGTCTGATCACAGAATGGGTCAGATTGGAAGGGGCCACAGTGGGTCACCTGGTCCCACCTCCCTGCACATGGCACAAGAGTGCATCCAGATGGTTCTTGAGTATCTCCAGAGAGGGAGACTCCACACCCTCTCCAGGCAATCTGTTCCAGTGCTTGGTCACCCACACACTAAAGTTCTTCCTCATATTCAGGTGGAACGTTCTGTACCTCAGTTTCTCCACTTTGCCTCTTTTCCTATTGCTTGGTACCTCTGGGAAGAGCCTGGCTGCCACACACAGTCCTCCTATGTACACATGTAATAATATGGATGTAGGTGTGGTATTGGAGAGATTTTTTTTTTGAAACTCTTAAAGGGCCATGGACTGCAAAGCAGGCTCAGGCATCTGCTTTTTGGCTCTGGTATCCATATGGCCATTCATGTGGCTTGACTGATATAAGAGGGTACCTATGTATTCAGAAGTGTGCATGCCTACAGCATGTATAAATATATAGGAAAGGCAGGGATCTATTTCTACATCTGTTTATAGCCTTCTATATTTTCACGTTCTGTCTATATGGAGTTTTGCCACTAAGCTCTGGGAAAGTTGACACTTAATGCTGCCTCATGCCTCAGACAGGTACACTAGGTGTACTTGGAAGCCTAGCACAAAGGCTGACTCTCCTGTGATGATATTCATCTGCTTAGTAATACAAGCCTAGGCTTCTCTGTGGGCAAATGTTCCTCCAGTGTGACTGATCAAATAGTGGCAAGCCAGCATTTAGGGGTGTGTCTGTACCTTGGGTTCCATTAGTCTGTGTTAACAGCTGGCAGCGTGAGCCAATATTGGCTGTTTTCTCCCTTTACTCACTCACATCCCCACTACTTGACTGCTTGGACATTGATATTCTTCTGAGGAATCCCTTTATTTTTCAAACAAAATTACGTGTGACGAAAAAAGCCTGTTATTCCCCATCCGAACATTTGGCATTTGGACTTGGGTTTTAACAGAAACAGTTACAGAATCAGAAAGAGGAAATGCTGTAATGTGACCAAACCTTAGCATGCCTAATCAAGTTAGTAGTGAGAAGCTTGGCTATTTCTGTGAAAGTGTTAGATATGTATTTATTAACCACCCTTAGTTCTCAGAAATCAGTATTTTTTTCACATATTCAAAGACATCAAACTATCTCCCTATATGTACACACATACAGTTCTGAGTGAATGTTTTCTGTCTCTCTAAATTGTACCAAAATTAAAAGGGAAATTTAGAATTTGGTTTTTTTTTTGCACGATAATTTATAAGGAAGTTAATTGTGTCAAAAGTGTGCTGTCTATCAGACAGGACTTAACTATATACAGTATTCTGAACAGAGGGGAACTCTCTTAGCCCTTGACTCCAGCCAGCCCAAAATTGTAAAATCATATTAAAAAAATAGAATCATATAGTATGATCATATAGTCATGCAGCTTTCACTTTTTTAAAAGCTAAATACATTAGCTGTGAAATATATTTATAATTTTGTGTTTTCACTACTCCTGCGAGTAGTGAAATATGTGAGGACACCATATTTGTACTCTTGTCTTCAAATGTTTAAATTCTTTAATTAAAAACTTCATTTTCATTCAGTTACATAAAATAAAGCGACCAAGTTTGGATCATGGGAAAAAATCCTAATTAGATATTATAAAAAAATGAACACTGAGACCCATAAAGCTACAAATAATCAAGGCATGTAACCTATCAGCAAATAGACCTTTCGCTTCTTTTATGATGCATGTACTCAGTTTCAGTAAGCAAGAGACTTGGGATGCGGAGAAGTCACTTCCCAAAACAGCAGGGTACCTGTATCTCTCACTAAGGGAAAGGGAAATCAGTCAAAGTGGTTATTTTAGTAGTTTGATGTGCAGTAGCTGGTGCATTAGAAACCCATGGAGCTTGCTTAATGAGGAGTAATTTAAGACTATAGTTAGTTCACTAAGTTGTTTTGGGGTAAAATGATGACTGCAAGAGACTTGGAAATTTGAGTGCACACTCACCTCTGTTCCTCATTTCTTCCTCTGTTCAGCTAGAGAAGATTTGTGTAGGCTCTGAAAGCCCTTCTGCTGCAAAAGCAATGCAAAATTTAGCTCAAACCAAAAGGATAATAAACGATTTGAAAGGTAAATAATGTTAATTAATAATAATTTACTGAAAAATTCTCATATATTTTCAGTATATATTTTCCCATTTTATCTTTGACCTATCTGTAAGTATTTCAGATATCCTTTGGCATCCCATACTATTTGGCATCCCATACCATCTCCTTTGGCAACCAGACTGTGTCTACTTCAGGAACACTGAGTAAAACAAAATTATCATGAATCTTTCAGAGACAGAAAAAATAGTTTGCAATAATCATACACAGTACATGTCCTTTTTATAAGCTACTGTCAGAAATATTTATGCATTATGTACTTATTCCAAGAAATTACAGTAGTGTGTGTATTTCGGAGATAACATGTAGAGGAATCTCCCCAGTATGTTTTATTTATTTTGTATGTTGGCATATATTCTAATAATAGATAGAACTTGGGGATTATTTTTTTAATATTAATGTTATCCTATATATGGAAATACAAAAAAAAAAAAGTCTTAACTGGAATAAGCCAAACACTTTGACTACTATATTGACATTTATGCTTGAGAAAGTTCAGGCCTGGAAGCTTTTGCAAAGCAAGTTAAAAGGCCAGTCCCAGCCTCTGACCCAAAAGGGAACATTTCAGTTCAGGCTCAATCAATTGAAAATGCAGGGCAAAATATGCCTTTAGATGACAGAGTTTGATTTACAAGATACACAAATATTTTCCATCAAGCTGAGCTAATTCAGGTTTGTATTTTGACTGTATATGTAGAATATCTATAATTTATTTATGACCTATTAAGGAGATTGTTTCCAGTGTGTAAGAAATCTTAACTAGGACCACTGTTTTTAAAAAGGAAACTCACAATTTCTTTTATATCCTGTCATCAAAGGCACTAAGGAGAAAGCTTCTGTTCTTGTTTTTGTGGGGCTTGGTTTGCTTTTCTCCTTGCTGTCTATTGAATGTCAAGAGGCCATACACATTTTATTGTACAGTCATGTCTTTGAAGTCACCAAAGAATTTCAGAATTCTTCTGAAGAGTTTATTTCTTGAAATACTTATTCCCCTCATGAAATCATGATTCCTGAGGGGCTTGTGGTGCCAAATCATCTGAAAGGGCTGTTGTCTTAGTCGAAGCATAGGGCAAACAGCATTACATAATGTTTGGGAGTGGGGCCCCTGGTGGTCTAGTGGTTAGGGTGCAGCACTTTCACCGCTGTGACCCGGGTTCGATTCCCAGCCCCCCGGGCAGATGGAGCTCGTCAGCCCTGTAAGGCAATCCATCTAAGAGAAGGTCACTCTAAACAAACCTACGTCCTGAGACCCTCACTGCCACTGTCCAAGCTTGCTCGGCCCCGGCAGATGAACCTCAGGATTAAAGGGTGGGCTCAGTTCAGCGCACGCTGTGTCTCACCTAAAAAATCCACTGCGCAGGCTCAAAGGGTTAATGACCTTTCCCAAATCTTCGCTCGCGAAGACTGGCCATTAATGTTTGGGAGTTTAACATATGCCACAGGCCTTATGAAGAGACAGGTGACATGAAGAGCAAGCCTTCCAAACTCATTCCCATTCACCCTTTTGGCATACCATGTCCTGGCTGCTGCCCCTAGTTGGGGCTCAATGTGGAAGAATAGAAGGCAACAGACTCCTGGGGACACAGTGATATCTAGATCAGGATGAGTGTTAGTAGATACCACTGAAAAACAGGTAATAGGCAATTAGGTAAAAGACAAGGAAGATAATATTTAGAAGCACCAGCAGATAAAATTATGTTAATAGAATGAAGACAGTGGTCCATATACTGTACAGAGTGGCCCAAAGCCAGCAGCTCACTGCTGCAGGGTTACTTGGACATGTTTAATCAACATAAGTACTTCCACAATACCCCTGTGTCCCCACAAGGTATCTCACATACCCTTGGGCAGAAAGGGGTAGCAGGAGTACAGTATGCTGTGAAATAGATAAGCCTTTGCTGTTTTTCTAGTAATATCAATGATTACACCTTGGTTTATCCTGAGACCAGAATGGGCAGCCAGGACTGAGTGATACCAAGGCAGGATTTGCATGCAGCTTTCCCTGTGTCAAGGTCCTTTCAGATTTTCAAATTTACAAGGTAACTTACTCTGTGTTTTCAACTCTATTTCCTGAGCTTATTAAGAAATATAATAAACATGACAAACAGAGGTTCCATCATCTTTTACCCAGACTAATCTGTCATGTGAATCAACTTATTCACCATTCAAGTGAATAAGATTTCATGAGATTTCATAACTTATAACACATGACTCTTGATGTCATACAGCTATGAGCAAAGAGAAGAATTGGTTACCTAGCCAACAGTGAAAGTGCTAATCCTTCCTCTTCCATCATGGTACAGCATCCCCTGTACCACACCGGGAAGCAGGAAAGCTTCCGCTTCAAAAGCTTCTTGGGTGAGATCATAGAATCATAGAATGGTTTGGGTTGAAAGGGACCTGTACAGGTCATCTAATCCAACCCTCTACAATGAGCAGGGGCATCTTCAGGTAGATGTTTTGTACTCTCCAGCTTGGAGGCTTAGTCTATACCATTTTTGAAAGTTAGTGGATTCTGAGGAAACTGTCAGACAAAACATAGTGGCTGCTGGAGACAGCAATTTGCAGGTGATTGTGGCTGAATGATGGCCCTTCAGCTCTTTCTGACCACCTGTCCTGCCTACCTGGTACTCTCACTTTGAGCACCACTGTCAGTGGGCAGAACAGCGCAGGCCTGGGGTGTGTATGCTGCCCAGAACTGCCTCTCTAATTCCCTGTGGTTTGGTCTCAGCTTTGGTTGGTGTGAAAACATAATATGATATAATTGAGGCTGATCAGTTTGTATATTGTGTGACAGAAGAAGGGATGTAGTAGCCTGGTTATATTTGCTTGAGGCCTATTTTCTTCTGTCTTATTTGAACATTTCTATGTCAGGCACATGGTATGGCTCTTGGGGATGATCCTGTGCAGGGCCAGGAGCTGGACTTGATGATCCTTGTGGGTCCCTTCCAACTGAGCATATTCTGTGATTCTGTCTTTGACTTCTAACAGAAATGCATATACAAAGTTTGTTTACTTGTAACCCATGACCTCGTTTGTACTAGTCCCTCATCATAAAGTTGCCTTTCTCAGGGACAGGAGTATTAATGAAGGTAAATATGCTGTCATAGTCTCCCTGTATGGCTGTATAATTTATTCTTTTGTATTACAGAGAATCAGCAGGTTTTCCAACACTATAGATACCAGGGCAGTGCCCAGGCAACCAGTGTGGAAAGCTCTGTTCTTTCAGATAAATTAGTAAAAGTAATGGGGTGGATCCATCTTATTACTGGAAAATGTATTAAGGCCGATTAATGCTGTTAGGCTGAATAACACCATAAAGTTGGGAGATGTTGCCAGGTTCAGGCTAATGAATGCCAGTCCCAGAGAGGACTACAGGGTGTATCTTTCTTCAGTGAATACCGAGGGAAATGAAGGTACTGCTGAGACTGAAAGGCATCCTAATACCAGGACTGAAGTGTCTCCTGCACTTGAAAGGATCTTTATTTTTCTGAGGGAACTTTCTTGGGTATCCTTTATTTCAAAACATGAAAATAAAATTGACTGAATTTACTGGTACTTTCTGGGAAATACAGGCCTGAAAATCTTCTTTTTAGTTATTGAGAGTGAAAACAAAAGAATTCTGGGTCAAAGCTCACTCCTTTCATAGTCTTTTATTTCTTCAGCATAGATTTGATTTCTGCATAAACTTGATATTATCTAAACTATTTTGCTTGAATGCTGTCATGTCATTCTCTATATGAGTCCTGCCAAAGGAATATTGACTGTTGACTCTTTTCCTCTAAGGCTTTAAGGTGTGTTTTTAGAAGTGCCTCTAGGGTTTTTTGTTTCTTCTTACACCTCAAAAGAAATCTTGCATGTGCATCCTTTCTTTCTTCCTCTTTACATTCATCAAAAATGAACAAAGGGTGATGTGGACAGTGAGTTACAGTCATACATAAACCATACGTCTGTCTCAAGCTATTGCTGTGAAAGTTGTGTTGAAGACACTGTTTATTGAAAGCCTACAGTGGAAGTCACCAGGGGTACAACAAAGTGCCAGCAATTCTTAGTTGTTTGGGATGTTCAGGTGCCACAGCTGCACACACATCCCGTGGGCTAATGGCAGAGATGTCCAGAAGGTTGATTACATAAGCGTATCCCTAAGAGATCGCAGTGCTGCTGGTCCCTCTGTAAGCATTTGGAAGGTCTTTCTGCAATGGCAAATAAGTTCTACTAACTTCCCGGGCTTCCAGAAATACTAATCAGCAGTTCTAGTCTGCAGCACATTTATTACACCCTGACGTGCTGGAGACAGCCTGTTACAAATAGAACTGCCTCGTGAAAAATGCTGTTCCAGTGTTTTATAATAAAGTGCACCAATTAGATGCATTCATTAGGACAAACTGCTTGTCTTTTCTTATATTAGATCTTTTAAAAGGCCCAATGCATTTCATAGCTCATTCTGCTCTGTATTATTATTAATTGAACAGAGCACATTACAAAGTTTTAATCCAATAACTGTAAATACATAATGAATAATATTTCCTTGGAGGCTGCCAGGGTTGCAGCAGCCCTTTTTGCAGCTTTGCATACTCAGAGTAAGATATATTATGGTAAAGTTCCCTCTTCCCTGGCTGTAGGTTCCCCACAGGTATTGCAGGGACATCACCAGAGCAAGGAATTGTGCGTGTGTGGTAAAAGACAAATGTGTCATTCGTTAAAAGGCAAATTAGGAGCCAAGCCTAAACTGCAGCCTTTCAACTTTTTCTTGTTGAAAAGGGTCACATGCACCAGTTCTTCATGTTGTCTTGCAGATCCCTGGATGCCAAAAGGAAAACAATGTTTTAATTTTAGCAGCATGAGGATTCCTAACTGCAGCATATTATTTATAAAGGGGAAATGGCAAACACTAAATGAAGACAAAAGGAAACATTCTGTTCCTCTCTGGGGGAGCACAACATTATTATACAAGGTTGTGATTGGGCATAGTAAGATGAATTGAGCTGCTGTGCCTACTGACAAGAACATTACTTCTTAGATTGCTACTAATACATGAAGTAGCTGGCACTCCCTGCCTGTACTTAGGTAACGGATATGATCTCAGGCAAAAGGAGCCTGAACTTGATGATAATGATACAGGTTTTCATATAAAAGAAGACTCTAGGGCATGTTGAAATGATTCTTTGTTTTATTGTACATACTAATATTTTCATATGGAATAAGTATTTGCAGTAATTTATGCTTGGACAGTACTCAAGTGCTTAGGAGGGCTAATTAGCTTGAAGAGAAGCAGTGCATTAATAAAGTCCTATGACCACTAATGAAGCCCTATAACTTCCAGTTCCAAGCTATTTTATGGTCAATCAGCATGAAAAATGGTCAGAGAGGGAGATGAGGTCTCTTTGTAGATATCCTTGTATCTGTTCACCTGCTGAAAGTTACAGCAACATGAGTTATTTTCAGAAATTCAGATTTTTGCTCTTATTTAGTTAGATCTGCTTTTCTTGGATCTAGGGCTTTGGTACCTAAGAATATGTGGTACCATAATATTCATTTCCCAATACATGATCCCATTACAACTGAAAACACTTAGGAGAAATTTTAAAGAGGAATTTTGTACCTATAGTCATTTTGGCCAGAAAATATCCAGCCAGAAGGATCAGGTCATAGTGAAGTGAAGAAGTAAAACATATACTGAAAAACAAAGAAAAGGAAAAGGAAAAAAACATGTAAGCATAGGAGTTACTGAAAAGCTGCAAGCCTTGGGAATGTTTTTCACAAGAGATAGTAAATCTTAGATTTGTCATCCACTAGATATCCACCATATCATGAGATGCATGATGTTACTAAGCGCTACTAGGACTCTGTGGATATGTGGTTATTATCAGTTTCATTCTTTAATTCCCATTGCTTCATTACCTTTCTATTAACTGCACAAGGATGAGTTTGCAGAAAGGCAGTAGGATATGTAACACACACCTGGAAACAAGGATGGGAGAGCTACAGTGCTACTGCTTCTTGAAAGTTTTGAAAGCACAAATTACAGTGACGTGTGCTTTTACCTGGCAGAGTAAGATCAAATATCTACCCCATTTGATTGAAATGGTACTAGCATTTACCTGTGCCAATCGGGAAAATTCATAAATCTCATTACTTTGAAGATTTCATTGTTGAGGGCATAATCCATAAAATTCTTTCTGTTGGTATAGCTAGGGTCAGTTAGCCCACATACTCGTTTTTGAAAAGAAGCAACTTGATGCTTCAAGATGAAATTTAGACACCTAAATCCTAACTGTAATCCTAATATCCAGCTCAACTACTGCCTAACTCTGGAGACACCTGACCTCCTTAGGTGCCTCCTTTTTAATCAGATGAATTCCCAGGTATTGACAAATTGACTTTTAAGCATACCTAATTAAAACTTTGTAGAAGACTGAGCAGATTTACAGCATGTGGCTACATCTTTTTAAAGATGCCTTATCCAAGACTGAGCTTCAGCACAAATGCAGTAATAGTAACTATTTTGATTTAAGGACATACGGCAGAACCAGAACATCAGCTCTGCTGTATGTGCTTCCACACATTTGTGCAATGATCTTAAAAAAGGTAGCAACTAAAAACACACCCTCCAGCTTCAACTCAGTCCCTCTAGAAAACCAGAGTAGACCTCTTCCTTCAGCTATGTTTTACAAGACAACTATAGCATGTATTTTAGGAAAAGAAAACAAGTCCCTCTCTACTTCCAGTAGAGTTTTGCAGGAGCTTTCTCTCTCAGTAACATGGAATGGACATCTGGGTCTTAAGGAGACAGTACGAAATGATGGAACCTTTTCCAAGAGCATTTTCTGTTGGAAAGCAAACAATAAAAATACCAGTTGGAATGGCAGCAGGCCATTTAAAACAATCTCCAGACATTGCATTAATAACCTTGACACATAGAGAGGGTTTGGTATTATGCTGTATCAGCAGATATAAAAAAAATGAAGCATCTGGCATTATGGACCTCAGGCCTGGTCTTCAGGTCAAACCCACAGGTATTCTCCTAATGGGAAAAAGAAATGAGTGTTTATGCTTGGGTGCTTAATAATTCAAGATGGAATGTAGAAAACTCAGCTTTCAGCATCTGCTCCAATTTTAAATGAACAAAATGAAATTAAATGCTTGAATGAAAACTCTCCAATCGGGAAAGTAAGGACTAAATTCTCCCTGCCATATTTCAGGTAACAGTTTATTCCTAAGTTTAAAGTAATTCTTGATCTCCAAAGTCATCTCTCAGCACAATTATAGGTCTGTAAAACTATTACATGTGCTTTATTTTCTTCACTAATACACAGTAAAAATACAGTTTAAAATGCTTAAAAGCCTTTTAAATGGAAAAAGTATCTTACAGTGGACCCAAAGTCTGTTTTGAAATACAATATGGTTCACATACCATACAACATTAAAAGGATTATGCCATACCTCAGTTGTTTTTAATATATATAAAGATTTTAAAACATTCTAAAGTCATGTTGTAATACTGAAAGTCATCAACAGACAGATTCAGGTATAGGAACTACCAAAAGAATCTGAACTTCTTAGATAGC